GGATGATTGCAGCTTCTGGCTCAAATGACTCCCTTCTTCAGTTTCAAACAAAGCAGTCAATTAGGTCAGGTATTGCGAACACAATGGAGAATTCTGTTGCCTGCAGCCTTTGGAACAAAGGCCTTTTGTTACAGTGATTCTGACTGGTTTAGCGGCTGGGAGAGGTTTCCTGGCAGATTTGCAACTTTTTTCTCCCTTTCCCTGGGTGGATTCATTTTCTGAAATATCATGTATATTTTTTGGTAATAAGAAATTTATTTGGTTTTAATTATTAGCAGTGATGAATTTACTTCAAGAGATTCAAATTATCTCTCCACCTCACCCCAGTACTGCCATCCCTTCCCCTAACACTCTCTCCCTTTGATCAGTTTGGTCTGGGAGCGAGCAGTGGGCACCTGTCCAGGTTGGATGGAGGTGTCCTGGGTGGCACACACTTCGCTGAGGGTTTTGCAAAATGTAGATGCTCCCAACAGAGAGGTATTAGATAAGGCTAGCTATACCTGATTTTAGAGGGGATAGGTGACAGAATAATGTATGAAGAAAGCAAAGGCTGAAGATCAGTTAGATGGGTGGACAAGAATAAATAGAGAGTATAAGTCTCAGCAAACAGCCAGAGCTGAGAGCCACATGCTGTTCTGTGAATGAGTGAAATAAATGGAGTTTTTGTGAAAAAATGCATCGAAGGGAATTGGGGATATTTGGCACAAAAGAAGGAGCAAGAAATCCTCTTCTGTTAAGAAACCTGTTGTTACTTGGATATACGTATTATCAGAGACAAGATATCCGGCATTCTCAAATGTTAACTTCTTGCAAAAATAGATCTTATGTTAATATGTTCATTTTGGTTTTGTTGGAGAGATCAAACCTAAGGAGTGATTTTGTTTGTTAGGTTGTTTTTTTTTGTCAGTGGACTCTTGTGCGTTTCAGCCATCATTCCCATGTTTCTCTTTTTGTTTTTAGTTATGTTCTCTTATTTTTTCCATAGTGTCCCAAAGTTTACGCAAGACTACCCGGGAACCTCTTACCCGAGATCCTGTTAAACGTACGTTGTCATTGTCATTCACCTGAGGGAAGGGAAGAGGGGAGGAGGATGCTGCTTGGTTCACATAACTCCAGCATCATCACCTTCTTTGCATGGTTTTGTATTTCTTGAACACCTGTCTTAGTAAAATGTTTCTTCCCATTACCTTGCTTATAATTACATCTCATTTTGCCAGACAGCTTGAGATGTCGGGCTGAGA